TTCTGAAATCTCGTTGGTATTCGATAGATGTGCGTAGATATTTTAAGATATTTGAAAACTTACTAGAATTAGGAAAACATATGTTTGTGGTATTCGAGAGATGAGTATACTTGGTAAATGTTTGACCGCATGTTTTAAGTTATTAAATATTTTTAAAATTTTAACACAAGATGACTATACTTATTAATACTTGAGAATTGACTAATTGAGCCCTTCCAGCATGGCACCTTGAGATTTAAAAAACGCTACACAAAATTTACAAAATTTACAAAATCCATCATATTATATTGTAAATAATGTAAATGACTACTATTAAACCAGGGAAATAGATATATTATAGAATGTATTCATGTACAGATATTTAATCAGTGACATGTTAAATTATTTAATGATATCTGTTCATTTACAAAATTAATCCATAAATAATATCACTTGTTAAAATGTTAATTGTTGTTATTGACGATAAAAGTATTTAAGTAAATATTCTAATATTTGTACTAATATTATTAATTACAAAGTGTTCTTTATATCTACAGGCCCGTTAATAGGATTGAATAATGGGAAGTGTTTTGAAAAAAAAAATATTTATAATAGATACATAAATAATTAGCAAATAATATTATAACACATTTATATTTATTGTTAATAACAACAATTAACATTTTAACAAGTGATATTATTTATTGTTATTGACGATAAAAGTATTTAAGTAAATATTCTAATATTTGTACTAATATTATTAATTACAAAGTGTTCTTTATATCTACAGGCCCGTTAATAGGATTGAATAATGGGAAGTGTTTTGAAAAAAAAAATATTTATAATAGATACATAAATAATTAGCAAATAATATTATAACACATTTATATTTATTGTTAATGTTAAAGTACCTTTAGTACCTATAATAAAAGTTATACATTATTACAAATAAGATTATAAAATATTACATAGTATAATAGATCAAAAATGAATAACACGATTTTTTTGGACATGGGGGGGGGTTTGAATCCCCAAATCCTCCCCTTGCGCACGGGCCTGTATTATGCAAACATCGAAAGTTTTCGAGTGCAAGTTTCATCGGTTGAGTGGGAACTAAATTCGAAAAAAATAAAGGTCTAGAGATTAAAATGTATTCAACCAATTAAAAATTCACCAACCTGCAAAATTACACAAAAATTAATGTGCCTATATTTTTGTTTCGTTCACAATAATATAACTATAAGTTAAATCGGAGGAACGAATGTGATGCTGGCGCACTGTATAGGAATAATATTTAACGTAGGTAAAACGATTATTCGAAATCATAATCGTTTTTTTATAAGATTTTTACCCTCTTGAGTTATAAAGTACATTTTTTAATTAAAATTTCAAAGGAGAATTTTATTGTTAAGAGAATTAATTAGTTTGGCGTGATTAAATTTTAAAATTTGGAGAGCGGAGCAGTGACACACTATAGGGTTATACCTACAGCACCTCAAAATGTTGGTTTTACACCACTCATCTACATCTTAAAACTTAAATACTTATAAAAGATATAATTAACTATATACCTATTGGTACTCCTCATTCAAAAAACCAGCGAACCGCATCAATTACATAATATTGTAGATAGGTTACGACTTTACGAGTACAGTTAAGTCACTAATAGGGTYACAGTTACTGGAATAATTATTTTTATTTTTAACCTCTCAAAGTACTATATCGATAACCCCCCCCCCACGAGGGATCAGGCCGAGGATTCAGAATTGTACGTACCTACGTAGAATTGTTAACTATATAAAGATAAATAATTACAATATATTATGATTATGAATGATAATAACAGCTATTTTTAAATAATTTACTATACAATAACTAAAATTGTTATTCTTTGTTTAAATATCTAATTCTGTTTGTCTAAATTTTCCTTCAAAGTTTAAAGTCTAATTATTTTTCGTGATTGATTATGTAGGTAGGTACAAAGATAAAAAAAAATCACTGAAAAACCTTAAATCATTGTACCTATTTATCGATCCGACAAGTACCATAATTAATGTATTTAAGTATTTATTATCTTGTTCAGCTGAAAACAAAAATAATTGAATAAACATTGCATAATGTGGGTGCGTATTACTTCTTAATTCTATGATGTTCATCTTATTGTTGAATTTTAAAAGAGAGGTGGGGGCCCATTGATGTACGATGTCATACAGTATATTTTACACTTTGAAGCCACTGCGATATGTCGCTGATCAGTGACAATTGACAATTAATAATAAGTAGGTACCTTTTGGACTCGGTTTAGTTTTAACGATAACTAAAACCTTGATAAACTTGACAGTTTGATTTTTTTTGTTCCTCTTGAAGTTAGATTAAATTTGGAGTTAGTCAAATAGTCAGACGTCTCGAATAATACATATAATATCTCCAAACGATTTTTTTATCTTCAATTAACTTTGTTTTATCGTAACTCATGTGTAGGTATAATATTTCAGATTACCCGTCCCAAAAGAGGAGTAAGAAATAAACTTAAGTGAATATTGACTTTTCCGGTGAAACCTTATTGAGTACCAACGAAATGGGTGGCTAATAATTGTGTCCTGCGATAAAAAATTGCATCCCGAGTTTTTAATAATAATTAATAAAGTTACAATACTTTTAAAATCTGATATTTTTAAGCTTTTCAAACTTCAATAACTTTTGATATATTGGTCTTATGGAAAAAATAAAACACTGTGACACAGTTAAAATTCTCCTTTTTTCTTGGTGCAAATTTGGTTTCTTAGTTATAACTGTATAGACTTCTCGGTTCTTTCCCGCGCGAAACAGTTTTTGTTATGTTACACACTTGTAAGACGAAGACATTACACGTGGGTATCTCTTAAGCTTTACATTTTATACGAGGAAAAACGGAAAAATGAAAATATCAAATTTACTTAGATACAAAGAATTATTTTTAATTACCACCTGAGTTACACTGTGTCAGTGTCAGTCACTGACAGTAATTGCTCAACTTACAAGTACAACTAAATCAAAAAATGTTGAAAATGCTATATAATATGCATTATCCTAATATATTAATTTTTATAGATAACTGAAAACTTGACACTAGCTTTAGTGATTTAGGCAATTACACGAAGAATAAACCCCAACGTATGTATTTATGATGACATTTTGAGTAGTGGCTCTCTCAAATAGTGAATTATTATGATTTAAAAGCCCTATTATAGTTATGCAGTCAAAACTACTCGGTCCAGCTTATTAAGACGTCAAGATTTAATCCACGTAATCCAGCT